GCCGCCTCCGCCGGGGAGTGGTGGCCGAGCGGTGGGGGCTGTCGGGGGAGCCGCTCGGCTTCGTTCGTGAACCGCGGGCTGCTGCGAGCAGTTGTCGGGAGAAGCGCCTGGGGGGGTGAGCGGCAGCTGGAGCCAGGGCTGGGTTTGCAGCTCGGCTGAGGAAATCGTGCACGCTGCCCCGCGCTCTGCGGGGGGGGCGAGGGGCGAGTTTAGCTCAGAGCCGAGAAAGGCGCACGAAGTTGCCCCTGAAAACTGGCAGCGTCTTTTACCCTGATCGCTGCCGCGCAGCGTCCCAGCCCAGCGGCGTGGAGAATACCTAAAGAACAGCTGCCCAAGGAGATGCCGTGAAAGCGGTTTCCTTGTGGTTTACAAAGCATTTGCACTATGAGCACGATACAAATGAAGGAGCTTATGCTTCTTATTTCAGAGCATGGCTCAAATTGAGGTCACGTAGCAAACAGTAAGAAAGCCGCAGAATAGGTATGTGGTATCAGCACAGTGTCCCAGGCACGTAGTGAGACAGGGAAGAGTCTTACAAAAAATAAAACCTGCGGGTAGCCAACATCTTATTGACAACTATGGCTAACATGCACATATTAAGTGAGGCTGCACGGTTTTTTCTTACTTTTCCCAGTTTCTAACAGTTTGAACATGCAGCTCTATCATGATGATAGAGCACGCTGTTCAGCTTCAAGGTGTTTTGAGCAAACAGCTCTGACAGTTTTGGTGCCTTTGAGTGTATCGGCAGGGTTGGAACCTTTCAGTCTGTCACTTCAGCTGGTGAAGTCACTGACAGCACAGCAGCAGCATGAGAGAGAAATCATCCTTTGCAATGGGAATCACAGTTACTTTTGGGGGCTTTTGAAGGGGCTGTGTACTTTTATGGTCTGACTTTTCCTGTTGAAGTTCCGTGTCTTTCTCTTTCCTGCCTGCTGTCCCACCTTTAGTATTTTGGGGAATGTTGCTGCCAAATATTGGTCCCTCTGTCCTACAAGTTCTAGTTCTCAAGATATCTTTTTCTCCTACCCAAATGTTTCTTGTCCCTGCCAGTTACTTTAATAAAGTCTTTTCTGTGCAGTACTTTTCCCCCCTGTTTTGAAGTGGATGTCATTGGAGGTTGCTGGGCAGATAAGCCTGCCGTTGTCATTTTTGTCGGTGATCAGAACAGGAGTAGCATTCTTAAAAAGAAAGTCTGGCTTTGGCCAGCTGCCAGCAGACTGAAGCGCTGTGTGCATGTCCTTTGGCTGTATGTCTTAAGAGCTGACAGGAGGCTCAAGCAAGCTCTGTGGGAAGGAATCCTAGGGCAACTTTAAGATCTGGCAAATCTTTACCATGTGTATGTAAACTGGCCCTTCTGGAGTGTGTGATGTAACTGAATGTGAGTGACTTTCATGTAATTGGCAAAAGGCATGGCCCCTGTCAACTTTGAGATCATACTTCAAAAGTGAACCATCATTTCATTATAGAAAATCTTGGTTTTGTTTTTCCTTCCAACCAGGTAAGCATTTATGTGTGAAAGTCTCAACTAGATGCAGACATCCAGACATCCAAAAATATTTTTTTTTTCTTTGTATCCTGTCATCACATTTTTGGAGAAACTATGAAGATGCTGCTTACCAACTGAATGTTTTTAAAACTTCCTGTTTGCAGAGCAGCTACTGCTCAGATCTCTTGTTATTTCAGTTGTACCATTAATGTTATCATTTTAATAACTTGATACCTAAATAAACTGATGTCAGTTTAAATAACACTATGTGAACCGAAGTGCAGCTACTCGGATACTAAAATTTTTCAGTCATTTCAGCACACATATAAGAGGGACCTACCTTTAGATATAAGTCTCTTCCTCATTCAGCATGCTTTATCTTAAAAGCAAAAAGTTTGGAGCAAGGATTAAGTGTGAAAGTATTAGCCTAAGAGTCATCAGAACACCAAGTTATGAATACCTAAGCTACTGATTAGTCTTTCTGTAGAGGTGGGATGGCTAGTCTACCCAGCAATATGCTGTAGACCCAAGAATGATCAAAGCCTGAAAAACAAACCCCTTGAGACAATCGTGAAGTTTCAAGTCACTCGTTAGGCATTATCCGGATGTGCTGTTTTTTGGGAAGAAATGCTGTGGCTAACTGTGCAGGAGGGAGGCAGCAGACCACCCCACCCTATCCCCCAAACATTGCTCTGTTCACAAGCACACGGGAAGACTAGCCAGGTTGAAATACCTGTTCTACTGGTCGAACACCATTCCTGCAGCCTAAAGCAGCTTGAGCTAATAGGGTGGTTGCACTCTTTTGGCTGAAGAGAAAGGAGCTGTTTTACTGCATGTTAGCAATCTCGGGCAGCTGAAATCAGTTCCATGGAGGACTTGTGCATACAGCAAATGGTTGATTTGTTGCAGTAATGTCTTTGCTGCCCCATCAAGTTTCATCTACTGTAGCCTTTTATGTTGTGCAATTATTTATAACAAACTAACTAAAATTGCTCTCATAAACGGTTTGAAAATATAATTGACATTACATATGCTGAACCTAAAATATTTTGAATTATGTTCTTCGTGTATTCCGTAAGAAAATAATTTTGCAGACTTGCTTTGAAACATATTCAAATTAATGCATTGTATTTTAAAACATTTGTTAAAGCAAAAAATCTTGCAGTGCCACTTGACAAGTCATACTTCTTAGAAGAAATGTTTAAATCTGTTTTGTTAAAAGGAGAATTTCTTGGGTTTTGTTTTCAGGTGATCACTGGAGGTCATTATGATGTTGACTGTCGGTTGGAAGATCCTGATGGCATTGTATTATACAAAGAGATGAAGAAACAATATGATAGCTTCACGTTTACTGCATCCAGAAACGGAACATACAAATTCTGCTTCAGCAATGAATTCTCTACTTTCACACACAAAACTGTGTACTTTGATTTCCAGGTTGGAGAAGATCCACCACTGTTCCCTAGTGAGAACAGAGTAACTGCACTTACCCAGGTAAGATGCTGTTCGTGTTTGAGAGCAGCTGTTAGGTGGAGGCAATGTTTTTTTTCAAGTTCAGCTGCATTAGATATTTATATCAGTTTTGAAAATCAACAGATTGGAGCTTTTAAAATAATCTGAATTACTACAGATAAGCTTTCTTTCTGAAGATAAGATTTATAGAACACAAAACAGCTGAGAAGGAATCAGCAAGTGCTTAAGAGAAAATTAGGGTAGTAACTTAAACTGTAGGCCACTTTATTTTTTTTAAGGGAACCTCCTTTTAATGCCATGTTTGTGTGCCTCTTGAAGTGTGGATTTCACAAACTGTAAATATTGGTGGATCAGGGTTTTAAAAATTTCCAAACTTTGGAGAAACTTTGAGAATTGTGTTTATATTTAAAACCATAGAGTCTTTTGCGGGGGAGGACTTAAGTTGACCTCTCATGTAACTGCCATTTTTAAAATGGAGAATTCTAGCAAAATAAACAAACGAACAAAATCAACCATATTGAGCTGGCTATTTGTCCTTTATAAGACACTACAAAGTGTCAGAGCGTTATTATATTCTCAGCATTTTACAGTTTTGTACTGCCTCTACCCAATCTAAATCCATCAAAACTTCCCTTGGAACACTCACTTCATGAATTCCCACTAATGTCGTTGCATTATAACCATCACCAAACCTCGCTTTAAACAACCATTAAAGAATGCTGGACGTGGTCACTATTTTGCTAGTCTCAACTCAACGGTGTAGATACCGGTTCCCAAATGCCAATCTTACTTGAATTTACCTCACATAAGTCTGCAGTAGCTGAGATCTATAATGAGTAGATGACTTGCTGTGAATTCAACTACAGCTCTTACCTCTTTCTTCTTGTCACTCTTCTTCTCTGCTTTATTTTGTATCTGATTCTTCATCCTGTATCTTTCCATTGCTTTTCCCTACTTTAGTCTTCATTCTGTTCAGTCTGTGTGTTCTGTTACATCTGGTTTTCCTTTTGCTATCTTGGATTCAGCAGGGGGATTTTGAGAATGCAGAACACGTGGTTCCTGGGTCCAGCATCTCTGCAGACCCTTGCAGCCTGTGGGAGAAGATTTATAAAAAAATAGTTTGTCACTGGGTTGTAGCTTACACAATGCAAATAAGTTATTTCGGAAAGGGAAAGTTAACTTTCAGAGTACAACACATCTTTGGTAAGAAGGTTCTTGTTGCAGTTTTCTTGAGGCTTGTAGGAAGACCAAATGAGGGCAGCCTTTCACAGGGACAGTAAAAGGTAAATCCCTAAAACCAGAGTGACTTTGTGTTTAAATCCCTTCTACAAACTAGGAGACCTCTATAATTTATCAGTGAGACCAATGGCAGAACTTAGTTTGGAAAACCTCTTCCTGAATTTTGTTGAGAAGAATATCTTAGACTTGTTCAGACACCTGTCTTAAGTCATCAACTTGAAGATGTTAGACACAGATATAAGTAACTGAGAGTGGCCCTATCAGTGTGTTAAATATTTCCTTTTATAATAGTTTGTGCTGTTTGATCTTCAGGAAATACTAATTTTAAGCCATAAAACAAAAACAAGTTGTGACTAGAAAGAAGGTATTTTGAAGATCTATTGATTAATCTCTTGGTGATCAAAACGCAGTGAGTAGTACTGACGTTTACTTACAGAAGATAAACTGGAAGGAGTTACGTGAAAAATGATCTAGGGCTTAAATTGGTAATACTTTTTTTTTTAAATGAAAAATGACAATGAAGTTGAGCAATTTGTTAACCACTTTTTGCGCATGTGACTAAGAGAAGGGTCTCCTGCCGAAAGAACATGTTGCGTTTAGTAATGTAGATTTTAGGATATTGTGCAATTTGAGTGAGAATTATGCAATGAAGAATGTCATACTTGTGAAACACAGGAGCATTTAATATATACTATGTGAATCTTAATGCTATAAGCAACTGCTTATTTTCTGGTATGTGTGGAATTAACAATGGGGGCATCACTGACATTTCAAAAATCTTTCTAATGTTCATTTTGAACCCAAATATACATGAATTTAAGATTTGTTTAGTCATTCTCAGAGCTTCTTGCTTTTTATTACATCTACAGTTTTACACTCTTCTGTATTTAAGAGTGAGTCGCATTCCTTTGTGTAAGTTAAATGTTACAGCATTTACAGTATTTCAGTCTGACAATGGACTGAGTTAATCCTTAGCTTGCAAAGTTACATGAATCCTAATTTTCAATATCAAACCAGAAAACTTTGCAGAAAAAGCATTAGAAGGGTTATTAATTCAGTGGTGTCTATTTGTTTGCTTCTCTAGATGGAGTCTGCATGTGTTTCAATTCATGAAGCTTTGAAGTCTGTCATCGATTATCAGACTCACTTCCGCTTGAGGGAAGCGCAGGGCCGCAGCAGAGCAGAGGATTTAAACACAAGGGTGGCCTACTGGTCAATAGGGGAAGCAATCATTCTTCTTGTCGTTAGTATCGGGCAGGTCTTTCTCCTCAAAAGCTTCTTCTCGGATAAAAGAACCACAACAACCCGTGTTGGATCATAACTGGTAGTGGTAATGCTTCAGGTCATTGTGTGTACTCATCTGTAAAAAATAACTGTTCTCCAATTAATTGTAAGTGCAAAGGATCTGAATATATGCAACATTCAAATGTGTCTACCCCATATCGTATTAAAAAATCACAAAACAAACCCAAAAAGTTATGAAAGGGAAACAGGATTTGAAATATTCTAAAAATACTTCAGAACTTGAGTGCTTTCCGATTCCTGTATTAAATATCTGGCAGTGACCAGCCTCTTTATTTCTACTGATTGTAATCCAAACTGAGTTTGATTTTTACCAGTAAGATTAGCCATCTGCAGTATAACACTTTAAAATAGCCCAACAGTCTAGTGTCTGACATGAGACAATATATATAAAAATTTTATTTGATTTTTGTTTTCAGGCTGAATGTATTTGATTATAAAACCAAATGTGATGAACTGCAGTGCATTCTTTTGATTTGCTGTTAAAAAAAATAATCCAATGGTACCCCTTGCTTATTTGTAAAATTGTTGCAAGCTTGACACTACATCATGGTGCAAATTCTTCATCAGCCTGGTAAGTCTCCATCTTCAAAACTTACTAAATTTTATACTTGAGTATGTTTGCTTAAACGTACATTCTTCTATATTAAAATAAACCCATTTCTTCTTTGACAATGTTTGTTTTCCTGAAGAAATTGTAAGCTGAGACTACTCAGGAAATCCACTTTCTATATTAAAAAATCCAAATCTCCAACGTTATTTAAAAAACATGCAATAAAATAGGGAGTCTTGTAACTTTGTCACTGAAACTGTATAGTTTCTGCACTCATATATGCTGCTGCTTTTTGGATTTAAGACGAGAAGTAGCTTGGTTTGTTAAGCAGCACAGCACCAGCACTGGATGAGGTTGTATTATGTGTTAGGCACATACAAAGCGTTTTACTAAATTGTTTTCCTATTAAGAGGCCAATTTGATATTGATACTGCATTGCACAAGTGCTGTAAATTTTACTTTCCTGTGTGTGGTGCACTGATACATGATGGCCTTGTGCATCTAATTGCCACTCTTTTTTGTTAGTGGTCAGGAAGTGTTTTAAGTATTTCAGGTTATCTTTTTGGTAGAGTTATAGTTACATTGTTTCCACTGCTCATGTCTTTAATAGCTTATGTACTGTAAAGTCTTGGTTTATTTGGATATGGAAGGTAGTAAATGTATGTACATACAAGTAGCTTGAATTGAGCTGGTCATAATAAGGCTAAACTCTTTCAATTGGCTCTGGAGAAATATGTAGACTGACCAGTTCTTTCTTAAGTGCACACAAGATAAACTAAGGTGAAAAATTTTGTTGTATATTACTGGCTAATTCAAAAGATGCTTCTTAAGTTCTCAGCAAGCAGAGAAAGAATGCTAAACCTTTAATAATTGCCTGTATTTTTTCTAGCAAAAATTTGAAATTGCATGTACAGGTAACACTTGAGCAGTCTGAAGAATTGATCTGAGATTGCTTGATTTTAAAGTCTTCTGATGGCCGAAAAAAATAAAAGTTCACCTGTTGTGAACTGAACGACTGCTCTTTTGGAAACTGAAGAAAAACCTCAAACAGCTCAAAAATTACTTAAAAGGTCATGGGGGTATTAAAAAACTTAACATATGTAAAATTCAGGATTATATGTAATGTTCTTCTGTCCTGTACTGAATTTTAAATATTGCAGTCCCATTTTGGGATGCAAGCTTCCCAGAAACAGTGAGACTCACAAAGATCAGAAAACAAAAAAAATAGTGCTTTCTTATGATACAAATCTATGCCTGCACACAATATTCTTGATTGTACCTATATGCTTTATTCTTGTGTTTCAGCAACTAATATTCACTACTTTTTGTGCTGCGTTGCACACAATAATGAAGCAAGTGGTACACTTTGGGTGCAAGTGTCACATGAAAATATGATTTAATTTTGATAGCGTTCACTGTCATCTTCTGGAGTTTGAATATCACTTGTGTAGCTTTAATCACAACAAAAGCATTTGTTTTAAAGATTGAAACGTGTTTGGGTTTTCTTCCACTGACTTGTTCTGTGTGCTGTCAAAATTGGTAAACAATGGGGTAAAACAGATAATGATTGGCCATCGCATACATGTCTCTCTATTCTTTCATGTTTGAATGTGTGAAGTGGGACTGTTCAGCTCAATATTAATCCCACTGCAGAGGCTTAGTGGACTTGACTTTTGCATTGAAGTTAGGTATCCAAACCAATCTTCTGATATCCTGCTGCATAATATGCAGCAATAGCTTAAAAATGCCTTTATTTTTGTGTTACTAAAAACATGGCACAAATACACATGTTTAAACATAGCTGTATATAGTTTTTAAAATAAGTGACTGAATAGGATATAATAAAACACATGCTAACGCAGTGGGTGAAGAAATGCGTTGTGACTTTTGGTTAAAGGTGCATCTTTTTAATATATGAAAGGAATAGTTTGGTTAATGGTGTGATACATGAGTAAACACCCTGCGTTAAAGGGGATATAACTGTGTTTTTAATTGCTAAAGGCCCTGGGTTTCAGCTATTCCTTGGATGTTTTATGTTTACAGAACTTCTCATGTCCTTGTCAGTTCTTGTTTTAGTTTGGGGGGGGGAAAAAAAGTTTAGTTTGAATAAGAGAAAAAGCAGACCCTGTGAATATTGTATGGGAAAAATAAAAATTAATATATGAATGTGGTCTAATTGTTTTGTTTGCACGTGGGAGTGGGGAGCATTATTCTTCAAAAAAGCTTTGAATAACGATTTGAGTAGTCAACTTTTATTTTAACACATTACAGTTAATCTGCCCCTGACACTTGATCATTACTTCTATTGCTGTACATCACGAAGTGTACCGGTTCACTGCTGTTCATAATTGGCTGTGCTTTCAGGTCACTGGAAAAACTCACGTTTCGGCAAGATAATGTGGTTACTGGCTCTTTGCTCAGCACTTCAGCAGTGCAGGTAGTAATATCCATAAATCTGTTCTTGCTGGAGTGGAATTCAAAGTATATGACTACAGGTGCCAGGAATGACTTGAGACATACTGCATCTTCTCACATTAATTCTGTAGATACAAGGTTAATATAGAGTGAGCTAGAAAAGTGCATCCCATTAGTGTTGTCTAATGATGAGATATAAACTTCAAATATGTAGTAACTAAGTGTGTGACTTGAGATATTTTATATTGTGTAGCTTCTTGCTGAATCTTGGCACATACTAGTTAAGTTTTAAAAACTAGATAGAATAGGCATCATTGCTGTGTGTGGCACCTTCCAAAATGGCTTTTTCGTGCTGTTTGTGTTTCTCCAATATTGGTAGCTGTACATTCACAATTTTTCAAGAATATTTATAGTACTTGGATTAAAAAAAGCTTTTGTCTAGAAGCATGGGTAAATTCTCTTTCAGTGATGTGTTATTGTTATGGTCAAGCAGTTGTCTGGGGGTTTTTTTAGGTGCCTGGCACCCAGGATTTGAAAGTAGCTTAAGGTAAGTTGTGGTCTGAAGCACTTTTCCACTGAAAGCTGATCCTCTTACAAAAAAAAAATTTTAGACAAAGTGAAAAGATGAGTCAGCAGATCAGCTGATTTCTATGATGATGAAGGCTTTTATCAAGGAGGAAGTAAAAATGTGCTGTGGACCACTGCAACCCATTTTAAACAGTTTTTTGGACTGCCAGGCTGCTGCAGGGCACAACTGCCTCAGGGGCACCGCAGGCTGGATTTTGTATGACTTATGCAATGGCAAAAACAATTGAGAGAAATATTTAAAGCCTGACCCTGCAGTTCAGCAGGGAGTTACAGTGTAACACATCAGTGTGCAGAAAGCTGGTATACTGCACCAGGTTACTCTAGGAGAGGTTCCACACTTGGTATGTGAGTGAAGTTCATGTGATACAGATCCAGTTTCCCAAATAGAGTGGGGTTTTGCAGCTTATAGTTACATTGTACATCTCTAAAAGAAAGCAAGCTTATTGCATATTATCAAGAACTCAGATTTACATGGTCTAATGCAATTCTGGAGTCATTGCTGTTGACTTCAGAGGGTTTTGTATGGATTTACCTTCAGGTGCCATCAAAGTGTGTCTCCTAATCATTATTCTTGATGTGCAAATGTTTTGTGCCTTTACTTTCTGCCTAACTGGGCTCTTTACAGGAAGTAGATGTAGTAATACTAATGGAGAAATCCACCAGTAAGGGGAGCATCATCTAATGTCAATCATTATTTAAAACTAAGTCTTAGCAATCCTCACTACCATTACTGAGTTACTTCCCTCAGCTGCTGAGGTAGTCTCTATGCATTTACTGCTGATGAGTGCTAATTCTGCTTGTCAGTAAGACCATGGACATGTTCCTTGAAGTGATTAAAATCTTCCAGCGTCACCTGCTTTCTTATTAAAAACAGATTAAACTCCTGCTTCTGTATAGCTCAGTGGAGGAGGAGTCCTCCAGGGGTGAGATGAAACCAAGAGTTTTAACACAGGCTCTAAATGAGACAGATGCAAAGACTTTCATACTCCTCCCCTTGACTTCCACAGCTGTCAAATCAGGTTCCAGAAAAGTGAGGTTATGGCGCGCGCATACTGAGGATCCTACTGATCTTGACCGAGTAAGTGTTGTGAGACACGAGGGGAAGCAGTGACTTGACTCAGGTTAGTAAATACTCCAGTAACCCGACAGTAGGTGCTCTCAAAAGGTTCATGATTTGAATTAGAAAGCCCATGTTACAAACCTCAGGGCAAGATCTTTTGTAAGCATAACATGGTTTTACTTCGTGATACTTCTAAGCAGATTGATTTGACCCACTCACGCCTTCTCCCCCACCTGCTGACAAATCCAGGACATGTGCAAGTGGTCTGGTCAGCATCACTGGTGTGCAACAGTGATTTTAAGCAATTTGACTGCCTTGTGTGTCTCTGTTTATGTTTCTTAGCCTTACAGGCTGTTTTGCAGGTGGGCTAACAGGAAAAGGAGTGATATGGGATATGCTGTAGCTAGAGGCTGTTGAGCAGGACTTCCTAAATATTTTCATGGCCTGTATCTCCACCATGAGACACTGTCCAGCTCGGAGTGCAGTGAATGAGACACGATACAGCAGGATGCCACCCCTTCAGCAGCCTGCACTGTTCAGGTACATGTTAAGTAGCTGAATGCATTTTGTTGGTGTGCTCCCACAGGAAGGTTGTCGATCTGCCAGTTGTGTGATAGGGCACAGTCAGTGATCAGCTGCATATATGAGAGGTCTCCACTTGGTGGAGTGTTCCTGGTTTAAGCAAGAGCTTTCTTTTTAGGGATGTGATTGGTTCTAATCTGTGTGTTGGGTATTCTTTCCTAAATTTATGTACACGTATTTTCCTGATGGAAAGAACAGCAGATTTGTTTATTCCTTACTGTAAATGAATGTTCTTTATAAATTACCAAAAAGGAAGTATGTTGACAATTTTGATATGCAGGATATCATGAACTGAGGAGCAGCATTTTCCTTCTGGAAGAACTCAAACATGAGGGAAAAGGATTTGGGAATGTTAACATATTGATATGAGACAATTTTTTTGGCAATGCACTGCCTTTTGCTCTGGTGTTCGCAGAACACAATACCACTGGCTGTCAAGGAAGTGTTTCAACAGGGACAGAAAGAAGGGGGAAAGGGAGGCAGAAGAGAGAGGGGCAAGAGAAAGAGGAAAAGTGAGGGGGGAAGAAAGGGAAGGAGAGGACAAAGGAGGGAGGGAAGAAAGGAGGGAGGGAGGGAGGGAGGGAGAGAGGGAGAGACGAAGGGAAAGAGGGAGGGAGTGAGGGGGGAAAGGAAGGAAGGAAGGAAAGAAGGAAGGAAGGAAGAAAGAGAGGACAGAGGGGACAGAGCAGTGAGAGGAGCCCGTGTGCCAGGTTTGGGAGGTTTGAGGAGTGCCCGGCTTGCTCCCCATGGACAAGAGTCGCTCCCTCTCCTGGGGTGCAGGTGGCCTTTGGTGGCTGCTGCCCCCAGCACCAGTCAGCAGCACAATCGGCAAATAGCAACTGTAATTCACACCAGAATCCAGTCTCTCTAATGCATATTGGCACAGCCGTAATGAGGAATTCAGTGAAAATTGTCCCAAGGGAAATTAGAAGAAACATTTGTCAAAGGGTGGATGGAGGTTGGAAGAACAGTAGGCTGCTACGGAAACGTGTAGAATGGAGTGTGCTAACCACCAGGACGTGCTGTCACCTGTGAAATACTCTGCCTCACATCAAACCTGCCTTTAATCCCACTAATACAAAGCCAGAATGACTCCGCAGCTCTCGGTGTCATT